ATTTTTATTTTATTTTAAACAACATGGAGTATATTGTTTAATAGAGGAGAAAGCACTGGAGTAGAGGTTGGGGGTTACTGCTTGTGGTCCTGATGTTGCTCATAATTGGATGTTACTCAGGATCTCTCTTTTTATCTCATCTTAAATTGAGAGGACTTGAGTCAGTCTTAAAGGATTTTTCCCAAGATGCATTTCAGCTTTGCAAGAGAGTTTCAGCAGCAGTCTCAGTGGCTTTCAGTTGTTGGAAGAGATGCACTTAGCCCTGGCATCTTCAAATAGCAAGTCCCCTGGCGCTCTCCTTTCTCACTTCTCTTCCAGGGAAGGAGTCTTGGGGTTTTCCTTCAGGTTCACAGCTTTTGAGCTGTGGTCTTTTCCTTTATTGTCCTACCATCATTCTGATTAGTTCCTGAGTTGTAAATAACTGTGTAGGTAGAAACTATTTTGTTCACTGATGTATCCCAAAGGCCTTAATTAGTGCTTGGCCTAGTGAACATAATATGTAGGAACTCACAATTTTGTGGAAAGGCCTGTTGGAGATTTGTGGAAGGTGGGCACAGGGCAGGCAGCTTTGTTTAGGCAGTGTTGGGCTGGAAGGGGGAACTGTGGTGAGAGAAGGTGTTGGGATGTTTGAACTGGATTTTTGAATGGTGATTCCCTTCCAAGGTGCCAGGGAGGGTTTGAAATATTAAGGGAAAAGCTAAAGAAGTTGAGGTTGGAGAGAGAAGCCATAAAACTAGATGATGAGGAAGTCTTCAACCCCATGCAAAGAATTTGGAATTTCCTGTTGATAGAAGGTAACTTGCAGGATCTGAAGCAGGTAGATATGTAATCAGGTTTGTATTTTAGGAGGATTATCGATGGTGACATGAATTTGAGCAAGGGACATGGGATTGGAGAGGAGATGATGGATTCATTAAATAATTAGGGGCTTAGGAAGTCATGGCTAAAAATGAGCGGGAGAGAAGAGTCTCAGACTATCCTATGTTTTGATTTAGGAAATTCTGTGGAGGTGGTCTCCTTGATGAGATTAGGAATGCAAGAGGAGATTTTTGGCAAGCACCAATTCAATTTGGGACATGTTCAGTTGGACTGCTTGTAGTCTAAAGGGGAGGTTTCCCTTAGGCAATTCAATGTACAGCATAGGTTTGGCTTTTGGGATATAGGTCTTGGCTGGGGATAATGGATTTAGAATTCATTTATTGTCAATAACATTTAAAAGTAACTGGAGTGGATGAAAGCACCAGCAAGAGCTCTAGAGTGAGAAGAAGAAAAAAGGCAAAGAACAGGGTGTGGGCTTCTTTGACATTTAAGGGTAGTCAGGGGAGAGGATGCCCGTGAAAGAGATGTGATCAGAGTTGTAGGACAGCCAGGCAGCGGGATGCCAGAAAAGCCTAAGGAGGGATTTCCAGAAGAGGGAGTTACCAAAGTGTTAGATGCTAAAGGGAACCCACATAAATTAAGTGCTTTATAAATAGAAATATAAAAGACTAGAGGCCCAGTGCTCAAAATTCATGCACAGGTAAAGTCCCTAGGCCTGGCTGGCGATCAAGGTCAATTGGGTCCTTCCAGCTGCCAACCGGGGCCTGCCTTCATTCTGCACCGCCCTCTGGTTAGCACATGTCATAGTAAGTGAACGAACTCCTGGTTGAATTCCTAAAGGGACAATTTGCATATTAGGCTTATATATATATATAGATTTTTAAAATAGAAACATAAACATAAAGGTTATTTGTTTGGTCAGTGGTGACTTACCAGGACACTTTCACTGCTGTATAGGGTTAGGGAAGGGAAATTGGAAACAGGTCTTTGAGTTCAGGAGGGGATCACCCATTTACATGACCCAGAACCCTGGGCTTCCTGCTTGGTGACTTCTGCTTCACTCCCACATCTAGTCAGACACTGAGTGTGGCATGAAACAGGATTCTTGAGCGTGACCTTGAGATTCAGGATTTCTGGATTTAAATCCTGGTTTCACTACTAGTAAACTGTAAAACCCAGGGCAAGTTATTTAATCTGGTTGTGCTTTATCTATACTAGGGGTGTCGAACTCAATCAGAGAAGGGGCCAAAATCTAAAATCCAGCCTAAATCGCGGGCCAAATGGTTTACTGAACAGTCATAAACTGTCATTGTGATGGAAACGCAGCGGAGTACAGTGATGACATCACGGTGCGGGCCACATTGCAAGGCCTGGCGGGATGGATTTGGCCCGCGGGCCTTGTGTTTGACACATGCGATCTATACAATGGAGGTACTAAAAGTATCTTATGGTATTGTTATGAGTAAAGTGCTTAGTTTAGGGTGGGACACTGTAAGCACTCAGTGAATGTTAGCTGTGTTGAATCCTAAATATATTTTGGATTTGTCCTTTCTGGATTGCCATTAGTTATTTCCCCCCCAAAACAACTTTATCATGGTACTAGAGGCCCAGTCAAGAATTTGTGCAGGGTACTAGAGGCCCAGTGATAGGGCTGATTGGGGCTGATAGGGGGCTGGCTGGCCTGGAGGTGAATGGGGGAGGGACCATGGGTGGTTGGCTGGCAGCAGGAGTTGGCTGTGGGAACGCACTGACCATAAGGGGGCAGCTCCTGCATTGAGTGTCTGCCCCTGGTGGTCAGTGAGCATCATAGCTACTGTCCAGTCATTTGGTTGTCTGGTCGTCCAGTTGTAACAGTCACTTAGGCTTTTATATATATAGATATATAGATAATTTACCTATTATAAAATTTATCTGTTTTCTGTATACAATGCTTTCTAATAAATTTAGAGTTGTAAATTCAGTGAAAAGTCTGGGGAGGTAAGAGACCAACCAAAGGACTTGTATGCATGCATATAAGCATAACCAGTGGATGCAAGACACTGGGGGGGTGGGGGAGGAGGGTGGGGGCATGTGTTCGGTGGTAGGGGAGGCCGGGGAAGGTCAATGGGGAAAAAAGGAGACATGTCTAATACTATTTGTAGTACTTTAAACAATAAAAAATAAAAGTGAAAAAATTTTTATAAAGTTGTGTAACTGTCACCACAATTTAGTTTTAGAACATTTTCTTCACCCCAGTAAGCGCTCTCATGCCCATTTACAGTTATTCCCTACTCCCACCCCAGTCTTAGGCCACCATTTATCTGCTTTTTGTCTAAATCCAGTTGCCTTTTCTAGGTAGTTCATAGAAATGGAATTATATGATCTGAGGCCTTTTGTGTCTGGCTTCCTTCACTTTAACTCTTTTCTAGGTTTTTCTATGTTGTGGCATATATCAGAACTTCATTTTTTTTTTTATTGCTGAATCGTATTCCATGGTATGGATGTATAATGTTTTGTTTATCCATTCACTAGTAGATGGACATTTGTTTGTTTCCACTCTTGCTATTATGAATAACGATGCTGTGAGCATTCCTGTGCTCGTCTTTGTGTAGACATATGCTTAATGGCTTCTTAATTGGTCTTCCTGCTTCTGTTCTTGTTTCTGTTCAATCTGTTCTATACACTGTAGCTAGAGTGATCTGATCAGTCTGATTGTGTCATTACCCTGCTTAAATCCTCCAGTAGTGCCCAGTGTGCCCCGGGATCAAGTTCAAACTCCTTAACTTGAAGGGCTTACTAAGAGTAGTCAAAACCTAATCCTCTTTCCATCTTCTCTCACTAAGCCCCCTCTCCAGCTTCCTGCTTCAGCCATTCTTTTATTCATTCATGTTGTTCCATTCATTTATTTAACCATTTATCCAATTAACCAGACTTATTGAGGCTCTGGGGATAACATAGTAGACAGGATAGCCACATCCTTGCTTTCATGGAGCTTTCTTTCTAGTGTGAAAGGCAGGCAGTAAATAAGAAAGCATCAGCTAGTGGTAAGTGCTGTAAAGAAAATGAAAAAGGATGATATGCTAGAACTGAGGGATGATGACTCAAATCTTGAAACCTGAGTGTTCCTCAGAGCCTCTGCCATATTGCCAACTGCTTATTTGTTTGTTTGTTATTCTTTCCTCTTGGAGTACTCTTATCCTACTCCTCCTCCTAACTCCTATTCAACCTTCCCAGCCCCATGAGCAGCCCCACTCCCAAAGCCTACCGAGATGCTCCACCCATTATGCTTTCTGAGTTCATCACAGGCCATCTGTCTTGAGTAGCACTCTTCATATTATATTTAAACTAGAGACCCGGTGCATGAGATTTGTGCACTTGGGGGAGGAGGGGTCCCTCAGCCGGCCTGCGCCCTCTTGCAGTCCAGGAACCCTCGGGGGCCATCAGTCAGACACCCTTAGGGCTGCTGTGGAGGTGGGAGAGTCTCACGCCACGCCACTGTGCTCCCAGGCTTCTGGCTAAGCACTGCTCCCCCTGTGGCAGCACACTGACCACCAGAGGGCAGCTCCTGTGCTGAACGTCTGCTCCCTGGTGGTCAGTGTGCATCAAAGGGACAGGTTGTTCTGCCTTTCGGTTAATTTGCATATTTGCCTTTTATTATATGGGATGCCTAATGATTTCCTGTTTCTTCTCTATCTTAAACAACTTGCTGATTGCTGAGTACCTAAAGTCTCATATTATGCACATAGTTGGTGCATAATAAAATCTGTTGAAAGGCTGATTGTGGTTAGTTTTGAACAGTGGGGAGGACCAGATCATTTCCTTTGGAACTGGAGGGAAGGAAGGAGCTAAGGCCCATTGCACACATACATTAATTTGTAGGATTGGGGAAAGAAAGTTGAAGGAGTTCTGACGGCTTGCATTTTCTCAGAGGTTACCATTTAGTGCACAGTATAAAATGAGGAGAAGCTATTTATAATGAGCAATTAGCAGTGCATTAGAAGAAATAAAAAGTAGTGCTGTGGGGTGCAACTTGAAATCTTAAAACTGTTCTTACTTGCTTTTAGTTTTATAGCTATTAGATTTAGCCCAATTTCTTTAGGCCATTCATTATATATTGATATGGATGATTAAATTACTTGGATGCTATTGTACTGCTCTCTTTCTTGCTCTTTTATAATTGATTTTATTTTGATGTTGCTTTTCAGCTTTCGGAAAATGTGATTGATCGTATGAAGGAAACTTCTCCATCAGGTTCGAAGTCTCACCGATATTCCTCAGGTATTTCAGAATTTTAGTATTAGATTTTTTTGTAGCTAAATTAGAAGTCGTGAAAATTCATTCGATAGTCAAGATCTTTGGCACGTCTCTCTTTAGTTATTTGGATGCTCTGCTTTTTCTAGGGAATACCAGGGTTTCTTTTAAAGTGTTTTGAACTAAAAGTAGAAGAATCTGCTTTCAAACAAGTGTTTTGGAAAATTTTTTTCTCACCTAGCTCCTGAATCCTCTGTTAGGCTTTGGAAGGTTACTCCATTATCTTTTTTTGTGTAAAGTGGATTACTTGCAGAGATATTAGAGATTGAATAGTAAATATTTATTAAAAAATCAATTTAGAAAGTATTGATTTACTGTCTCCAAATTGTGAACTATCTCCCATGAGTATTTTCTAATACTTATTTTCTAAGTTTATAAACAGTCTATTTCTTTATAGTCAGTCTTAATTATTGATTAAAATAAAGTGTTAAATGAAATACATAGGGGATTATTAAGCCTCATTTTATCTGTGCGTCATGCAGGATAAGTGAGTATTTCTCTTTCCTTTCCTCTCTCCTACCTGATCTGTCCAGCTAATATTTATTGAGCACCTGCAATGTGTGGCACTGTTCCTGTTGCCCCATCCAATGAAAGGACATGTGGTTTATTGGTGAAGTGGCAATGAGAAAATAGTCAGGATGGTTAATTGTGGGCTGAATGAGAATTGCCTGTGTTTATTATTGGTGTTGTGTGGTAAATCTGGCTACAGATTGAAATACATTGAGAAAAGTGAGATGCTGTCCAAATGCCATTCACGTTTCGTAACCATTAAGTGGTAACCATGAATTCAGCTTTTGATATATTTACAGCAGAAGGTACCAAGATAGAGAAGAAATAGTTCTTGCCCTTTTAAAACTTCTTGTTTAATGGGAGTGTTAGGAAGGCTGCATAGTTCAATAATGTTGGCTAGAGCGTGACCACTCCCTCCTTGCTGGAAACCCCTTCTTTGGCTTCTGGGCTGCACTGGTTTTCCTCCCACCTCACTTGCATCCTTAGTCTTGCCTGCTTTGCTGATTTCCACTAAGTAATCTCACCTTTTGAATAATTATGTAGATGCTGTGAGTCCCCAAATTCCACCTAGCCTTGACCTCTCCATGTAACTCAACTTAGACATCTACCCACTTGAAGTCTCCACTTGGAGGTCTCCTTAATCTAGCTACAGTTGCTTCTGCTCTCTTATCTTTCCCAGTAAATAGTACAGGTAGTCAAGCCTCCAAATGGGGGTTCATCCTGTTTCTTCTGTTACTTATGACATAACTTGTCTTGTCAACATCATCTCTAGAACATGCTGAATAGGTTCTTTCACACCTGTATCCACTGTTGAGCTCCAGTACAAGTAGTCAGCATCTCTTTACCTGTCTTCTGCAGAGGCCTCTTCACTGGCTTCCTGCTTTCTCTCTTCGGTCCTTCAGCTTTGCCTTGCACACAGGGGCCTTGGCAGTCTTTAAAAAAAAATAGTTCATGTCTCATCTCCTTGATGGAACTCAGTGGTACATAGAATATAATTTGAACTACTTTCCTTGTCTTCTGAGGTACACCATGACTTGTCTTTTTCTGCTTTTTCAACATCAACTTGATATATGGATATTGTTAAAATTGGGATTTGATCTGAAATACAATTTGTCCTAGGTAGATTTTTTTTTTTAACCTAATGTTAAAAAAGGTTTAACCTAAAGGAGATAGGATGATGATGATGATGAAATGCTGATAAATATTATTTAAATAGTGTTTATTACATGCCAGCTACTGTGCTAAGTCTTTTACCTATATATCTTATCTCATTTAGTCCTAATAACCCTATGGGGAAGGTACTGTTATTAACCTATTTTACATAGAAGGAAACTGAGACTTGAAATGATTGTCTTGCTTACAGACACTCAGCTGGTAAGCGATGGAGGTGGTAGTTGAATTCAGTCTGTTAGACTTCAGATCAAATGCTGTTAAATATTGACCACTCTGTTTTATTGTAATTTGAATGACACCTTGCTCCCTTTGTATACGGGATGTGACAGAAACTAGTTGGAGGGAAAGAACTGCTTTATAGTGATGTTCTGCTTGAGTTCAGGAAAAACTTTCTATTTATAAGTGATTATTGTTGCTCATAGGTTTTTTTTTTTTTTTTTTGTATAGGTTTTTCATTCAATAGTGAGTTGAAGGAGAGAAAGTGTTTTCCTTCTTGGTGGGCTTCTTCATCTGACCCTTTGAGAGTGGATGTGGGTGGGGAAGCTTTTTGTAAATGCTCCTGGTGTGGCCTTCAGAGCATGACCCTGGCATTGTAATCATCTGGCCGTACTGAGGAATCCACCCCTTCCCATTGCTAGGTTTGACATGACTGATGAACTCTTTGGTTCATGACCAGCCTGGGCACTGAACACTCTGAGTACCACCTTGTATTCTGTTTGTCAGGCTAGAACTGCACTTGTAAATGCTAGCCACTAGTCACCTGTGGCCTTTAGATTTAAATTAAAGTTAGTTAAAATGAAATAAAGTAATTTCAGCTGCTCAGTTGCACTGGTCACATTTCAGTGCTCAGTAAACCCGTGTGGCCACCATATTGGGCAAGTGCAGGTACAGGACATTTTCATCATTGCAGGTAGTTCGATTGCACAGCTCTAGGCTAGACTGCATCAGTGCTCGGCAGTGTGACCTTCACCGGATGGTTTTAATGATGTGGTGACTGAGGTTATGGAGCTAGATGGCTCTGTGTGTTTGTGAATCTTGTTTTCTGCCTTTTCCACATCCCAGCTCCCCCAGGATTGTGGGTGAGTGGAAACACCAAGGCAGATTTCCCTCAGGTATACTATCTTCACCTCAGTCTTTAGCACAGCTTCCTAACCTCATGTCACAAGTGTGCTGGAGGTATTGATTCCTCAGACTCAGAGTAGCTGGGGAACACCTGTGTGCCCTCGTGTGTCAGATAAATTCTGTCTGCACCATGTGAAAAAGACTCAACAAAACTAATAGTGCAGCTTCTTTGACTACATTTCTCTCACCCTCTCCAACCCAGCCCTAGAAAAGAATGAAGATTTGCCATGCTATTTTGATCTTGCCTTTAAGTTAAGAAGGCAATTAGACTACAATTGTGCAAATTAATAAAGAAAGCTTTCTTCTTCCTAAGATTAAAAAAAAACTGTATAACAGTAGAAAGTCTCAAAGTTTGTTCTCTTCAGTATTTGTCTCATTTGGGAATCTTATTAGTACTCAATAATAGATTTCCTGAGATATATAATTTATGTGTTATAGAATAATTTTTTCAAGTCTACAAAAATACATTGATAAAAATGTCACCTGCTTGCCTACATTTTTCAGTGTCAAGTGAATTATATAGTAAATGTGAATTGAAATTCTAATATTTATCAAAATGCTTTCTTCCTCACAAAACTGTAATTCATACCAGCCCTCCGCTATTCATATGTGTGATTGTAGGGCAGCTGATTTGATGGAGGGAGAATCCTAGAATTTATTATGTAGAGTCAACTTTTGTCATATATATAGTTTTAAGAATATAATTTATTCTGTAAGGAAGTGAGTTACTCTAAAGAGTTTACTGAAACTATTTTTTGCCAAATCTTGAACCAGATCAATGACTCGTTGCAGTAAGTATTTGCATGTTCAGGCAAAATAATATACTGTGTGACACATGGCAGATTGTAATGCCACTTTAATAAATGAATGTGCTCTAAAGAAATTAACTGTGTCCTTACTGCCTCAGATTCTTTGCTGTGTACTGTGCTATCTCAACTATATTGGTTTGCTTTTATAATAGGGAATTTTTTTTCTTTTGGCTGTCATAGGGTATGCCATCGCACATGGTTATACTCTTACCTTTTCATTAACATCTTGCCATCTTTTGATTTTACTTATTTGTTTTTAATTTTTGTTGAATTTATTGGGGTGACATTGGTTAATAAAATAATATAGGTTTCAGATGTACAATTCTATAATACATCATCTGTATATTGTATTGTGTCAAGTCTTCTCACGCTCCTACTTTTCCTCACCCCCTTTTCCTCTGGTAATCACCATCCTGTCGTCTGTGAATTTTTGTCTTTCTTGTTTTGCTTGGTCTTTTCTCTTTTTTCACCCAGCCCCACCATCCTCCTTCCCTGTGACAGCTGTCAATCTATATCTATGAGTCTGGCAGCTGGCAGTCTGTTCTCTGAATTTATGAATCTGATTCTATTTTGTTTGTTAATACGATAGTTTATTTTATTCATTAGACTCCACATATAAGTGAAATCATATGGTATTTGTATTTCTTTGACTGACTTAATTTCACTTAGCATAATACTCTCCAAGTCCATCCATGCTGCCATGGATGGACTTGGAGAGTATCTTTCTTTTTTTTTATGCCAAGTGATATTCCATTGTGTAGATGTACCATAGCTTTCTTATCCACTCATCTTCTGATGGGCACTTGGGCTATATCCAGATCTTGGCTATTTTAAATATCGCTGCAATGAACATAGGGATGCATGTGTTATTTCAAGTCAGTGATTCCAGGTTTTTAGACTTATATTTCCAGAAGTGGGATCGCTGGGTCATAGCAGCTCTTTAAGGTTCACTAGACATAACACTGTAGGAGAGTTCACTGTAAACAAACTGGGCTTGTTCCTTTGACTTGAGTAAATAAGAACTGAAGGAAGTGGAAATATCAAAATTTCTAACTTTTAATAATCTGAAAATTTGCTGATGCCAGTGTCTCAACTCTCCACTTATTTTTGTGTGCTGTAATAGATAATTTACCTGACAGTTTCTAAAAGGAAGAAATATATACACTATCAGTTTAATGGTGTGATTTAAATAAAGTTCTCTAGTTAGTAGTTTGAAATCCATAAACAGTCTACCTTTAATGGATGATTTAACTCCTGCTATTTTCTCCATCCATCAACAAGTATTAGCATGCAGTGGTCTTTGACTTCAAGAACTATTCTTTTGGTGAAAGAATATTTAACATTACTGTGTAGTAAATAAAAAAATAGTGTAGTACCCTTCACTGCTTAGTTAATGTTTTTGAGTAGATTAACGAATATGTGAGATAAAATATATGAGATCTAGCAAGTGCTTTAGGGATTCAGAGGAAGAAAGTCAAGAGCAGGGGCAGGCAGACCATCAGGGAAAGCGGACTTGAGCCAGACCTTGAGGATAAAAGGGAGGGGGGTGTTGTGTTTCTGGCAGGGGCGGTACACAGACCAGATTTTTTCAGATAAAGAATGCATGTAGGTATCTCATGGGTGGGCAAGTTGGGCAAGTTAAGGAGCTTACTTTTATACTGTGGTGCTCAGTGGCTACTGAGCAAGTTTGTTTAATTTTAGGATGCAAGTTTAAAAAGTTGCATTAGTTGCTACTTTTAAAATATACTCAGATATTAATAACCTTTTTTTTTCTTCTTACTCACCTGAGGATATGTTTATTGATTTTAGAGAGAGGGGGTTAAGGGAGAGAAACATCGATGTGAGAAAAAAACCATTCAGTTGCCTCCCAACCTCGGTATGTGTCCTGACCAGGAAATGAATCCACAACTGGGATAATGTTCCAACCAACTCTACCAGGGTTTAATGACATTTTTATAGCCCCAAATGCAGTGCTGATTTCTCATTGATATTTTTTATATTTAACAAACAAATATAATGATAAGAATATGCTTCCAGCACAGTACTAAATTAACAGTTTTCATGAATAAAATAAGCAACCCCATAAGCATTTTTATTTGACCTTAATTGGCCCCATAGCAAAATAAATAAATAAATTTAAAAAAAAAAAGGTTGTCCTTAGCTGTTTGAGGCAGTCTAGGGCACAATCTACGATTCCTGAGCAGGGAAGGTGAAATGATACCAGTGGGCTTTGGAGGGATAATGCACAGGATGAGTTGGGAAGTGCAGGCAGGGAAGACAGAGGCCACGTGACTAAGGGAGAAGTGGCAGAGGCACAGGAGTGTTGAGTGGATTTGGTGACAGAGGCCACATGGCTTGTTAGTGGCAGTCTCTGACTCTCACTTCAGTCCTTTCTCTCCTGATCCAGGGCACTTTCTTCTGTGCCATTTGATTCATCACTCTTTTTGTGGTATTTCATTTTTATTTATTTATTTTATTTTTTATTTATTTATTAAATTATTATCTGTGTACATATTTTACCATTGCCCCCCCCCCCCCCCCCATACATACCCACCCTTCCCAGAGTTTTGTGTCCATTGGTTGTACTTATATGCATGCATACAAGTCCTTCGGTTGGTCTCTTATCTCCCCCAGATCTCCCTCCCCTCCCCACTGTAATTTGACAGTCTGCTTGTTGCTTTTCTGGTATTTCATTTTGAGAAACCACAACACACTTAAGCTCACTTTATTTTAAATTGAGAAGAGAGCATAGAAAACTTAAAAAAAATGGAACAACGCTTCATTGACAATGAGGTTAATATTTCACAGACTTTTGGCTGGTGAATGGGGAGTCACGCAGAGAAGGAAAGGCTGTGGCAGTGGAGGAAAGGAATTATGGGGAAAGAAGCTTCGTAGGTTCTGAAATGCTAGTGTCACACTATCAGTAGATCTGTGACTTAGGGCTTGCATTTCTTGGTTGCCTGATTGACCACTGGCCTCAGATGCTTATAAAACCTTCAGAGGCCCCTGTGCTGTGACTACTGTAGTAAAATCTACTTTCTATTAGTCTTCCAAGTCAGATGTTCCCTGTTTGTTCAAGTGGGTCAGAGGTTCCCTGCTTGTTCCAGAGTTACTAGAAAAAGCAGCTGTTTTGCTAGGTCAGAAATCTAGTAATGCCATCAGTCACAGGACTCAGGAGCTGGAAGGAAGTGCCCTCGGCGGCCACAGGGAAAAGAGAAGCTATATTAAAGAAACAATGTTTTGCTGCAGTAGATTCACTAAAGTGAACTGGGAGGTAGCGGATTGTATTTTCTTATAGAACCGGTTGTTATTATGGGGCATAACAAGTAAGTATATCATGGATGTCATCAATAAAATATCATAACCTATAAAGAGATAACTGTAAAGTAAAATTGTATAATCATGCTTCAAAGCTTATAAAATAAAATATTAGACATTGGTTATATAAGGAGCTCTAATAGATCATATAGCTTAGGACAGACAATAGATAAGTGTAATATTTTTTAATTTAAATTTAGTATGCCAGGGGTAATAAATGCTTGATTAACAATATTTGTTGCCTTTCTTGGTGTTTGATAGACTTTGAGGGCATCCTCTGGATGGCCTAGAGATCTTAAATTACCCAAAGGAGTTTCAAATGTGCATTTTCCTGCCGCAAGCAGAGCTATTCAGAATCAATCCATTGACCCTTCCAGCTGTCAACCAAAGAGTAGGTTATTGTTGATGATGATGTTTTCCTTGTAAAAATACATTTAAAAAATAGGTCTGACCCAGCATTTCAGTTCTTCTCTTTACCCTGTTCTGTCTCTTCTGTTTATTCAGAATTATTGGTCCAAAGCTCTAACTGGTCCAAATCTATGCTACCAGGGAACAATGAATGCTTTTAATCTTTTTAAACCTGTTCTGACCCCAGGGCTGCGTGGCACTTTGGTGACAGCTGCCATGGTAGTTGAGTGTTGCCTGAAAAGCATTGGGAATCCATAGGGATCCTTGTGGTAAGGTTCTTCAGATTGTTCCACAGAATTGCTCTGACACACTTAAGACAGAGTTTTGGTTCTGCATGCCCTGGGTCCCCTGACTGCATGGGTAATTGAAATGTGGGTTTTCATGAGCTTACATCAAATGATCAAGGCTTAAAATTATATTACAGGGTAGTAATAGTATCTCCTCATTAAAAGGTATAAGGCGGTTAGAACATCTCACATTGTATAGTGGGATGGTAGATGGCTGCTGAAAGCCCCTGTGTATTGACTTTGTTGGTGGGACTTACTTCATTGCTTTCTTCTGATTTAGTTTTTTGCTGGACCTCCCTCATTGTTTCTATAGTTATGAGAGGGACATCCACAGGTCTTGCTCTGTATTTGATGAATAGCAGCAAGGTTCTGTATTTTCATTTTTATGGTTTCAAGTTTTAGTTTCTCTCACTCCTGGTGTCATGGCCCTGCTCTGGTCACCATCATCTCTCACCTGCCTTGGTCTTATGGTCAGTCTCTAGCTTGGGGTCCCTGCATTCAGTCTTGCATTCCCCGGTTTATTCTCATTTCAGCCCTAGTAATCTTTCCAAAACTTGAAACCCATTATGTCATTTCTCTGTTTAAAACTTGAGGCTCCCCTTTCCTCTTAGGATGACATAAATTTCTGTGACATAGCCAACGAGGCCCTTGTAGTCCATTTCCTACGCCAGTCTCCTGCTTCACCTCTTGACTCACCTCTCTTATTTGAACTCTCTGTGTAGTCACACTGAAGCGTTTGAGTGTCCTTGAACTTGTCCTTTTTGGGTCCATGACATTGTTATTATTTTCTGTGTGAACACTGTTCCTCCACCAGTCCACCCTAGTTCCACTCTCACCTCGCCTCCTACCTGTTTTTTATTTAAATTTTTATTTCATTTTTCATCCAAGGATATTTTTTCTATTGATTTTTAGAGAGAGGAAGGAGGAGAGAAAAAGAAAGGGAAGGAGAGAGAAACATTGATGTGAGAGAGACACATAGATTGGGTGCCTCCTGAATGTGCCCCAACTGGGGCTGAGGATTGAACCTGCAACCCAGGTATAAGCCCTTGACCACTATTTGAACCTGCATCCATTCAGTATGTGGGCTGACATTTTAACCACTGAGCAACACTGGCCAGGGCCTACCTTTCACCTGGCTAATTCTTATTGTTCAGGTCAATGCCTAGAAATCACTTACCCCAGTAAGTTTTTCCTGATCCCAAGTCTGGGTTAAATGCCTGTCCCATGAGATTTGGATTGGCTCTGGTTAAGGATTGGAAGAAAAACCCTCTGAGTAGGTCCCCTTGGCCACTGTGGGTAGGGCTGGGAGATTAGGGAGCTGGCTTCCTTGTATGTTCAGACCATACATAAGTAGCCAAGCATTAACTAACAATGATAAAAAAAAAAAAACACAAACAAAACAAACTGCTGAGAATTTGGCTTAGCTCATTTGGGCATTTACCATTTTCGCCTTATTGCCATGTTCTATAATAATGGTAATGCCTATAACTATATCAGATTGGTTTTGGCAATCACACTAAATTCTTCAAATATAATTGGTTCTGTTGACTTAACGGCCATCTCATGACTTTAAAAAATAAGGTAAAATATTGACTTTTGAGAATGGACCTGAGGAATTATATGAAAATCAGTTACTCTCATTACGATAGATTTGATTTATTAAAAATATTTTTAAAAGATTTTTTAGAGAGAGTGGAGGGGAGAGGGAGAGAGAGAAATATGAATGTGATAGCAAAACCTTGATCTGCTGCTTCTTGTACACCCCCTACTGGGGATCAAGCCTACAAACCTGGGTGTGTGCCCTGACTGGGAATTGAACCTGCAACCTTTTGGTGCATGGGACAATGCTCAACCAACTGTGCCACACCAGCCAGGGCAAGATTTTGATTTACCGTATTTTTCGGACCATAAGACGCTCTGGACCATAAGACGCACCAGTTTTTAGAGAAGGGAAATGAAGAAAAAAAGATTCTGAAACAAATAGTGTCCTAAAATATTTTATGTGCATTAAAACCCAACATCACAGTCATAAACACATGTAATCAACCCTGTAAAGTAAACAGCAGCATTTAGAACCATTTTAGAGCCGGGCAAGCACACAGAGACCACACAGAGCCGGGCAAGTAAAAAAACTTTTTTTTTAAAGTATATGTGTAGGCTATATTTGGACCATAAGACGCAGGGACTTTTTCCCCCCACTTCTGGGGGAAAAAAAGTGCGTCTTATGGTCCGAAAAATACGGTAGATAAAAATACTAAAGCAGTATTTAAGATCGACAGTTTGCCAGAAACATTTTTATTGCTTTATTAATGCAACCAACTGGGCCATGGATTCTGAATATTGCCCTTATAATTATTTAAATGAATTATTTCAACAAATATTCTAACCAGATACTTGCAACAACTCTCAGTTCACTTTTCTCTATGAAACATGTTTGGCAGGAGGAGCTGGCTTTCCCTCGAGTGTACATGCACAGTGCAGGCATGATGTGGCTGATCAACTCTGTTTCTTCTGGTAGGAAAAATGAGGCTGGTTGAGCAGCTTTTGTTTAATTTTGTGGGACAACATAGATACCCATTGGGCACAATGTTTTTCCTTAATTTTTCTAAATAACATGTTGACTTCTGGGAATCTCACAAGATTGAGCTCATACACTGCATTTGTGACATCTTTCTTTGTAAAAATTTTCTAAGAGGTTGCTTTAATATTCTATCTTAGAAACTTTTTAGAGTATCTATTTTAAGATTATGGGAGGTTATAATCCTCTTCCATGATTATTTTTTGACCTTTGACATATTTTATCAGTTTGTGTAGCAAAAGACTAAGAAAAACGTGAATTGAATTATATAAAAATAATGCTTTATTATCAAACCTGGTAAACATATGAATGATAAATTGATCCTTCAAATTTTTTCCCTGTCCTAGTAAACGGTCTGCCTCTCCTGACATAGCCATAAGCTATGTTCATCATTTTGCAAAAATGATTAAGTAAAACTTTTTAAAGCAGTAATTTTTTAAAAAAATTGCTCATTATTGCTTATAGAGCTTTGAACTAAAACTTTTTAAGGCTATGTTATCTATTTGGTTGGGAATTACTATCTTATCTCCAGCCACTTACAATTCTTGCAGTTGAGTTGTCACAGTGGCCTCCCTGGTACTCCAGCCTGCAGCCTCATTCTGATGTATCTCAGGAGGGCTGGTGGGTACCAGCTAGCCAGACCCAGGAAGAGGCTGCACAGGCCAAATGAAATGACCACTCCCTCTTCGCCAGCAGTGATGTATTGTGCTTGCCTTCTTTCAGAAACAGGTTTCAGAGGAAATGAACCCCAGTTTCTTCAAATGAGAAGTTTGCAGTCGAATTACCTCTAAATAAAAGTGTGTGTGTGTGTGTGTGTTCACATTGTCTGTTTAGAGTTCAAAGAGCTTTTGTCATTTAATAGTTGTGTGATCCTGTGTAAGTCATCTTCATCTCAGTTTCCTCCAGGATAAAATGGAATGAATAATTTCACATGGTTGCTATGGAGACTAAATGAAAAATAGCAGGTGATCAATAAATGTCTCCTTTTTTCCTTCTTTAATATAGCGTCTATGTCTATAACTTGACTGCCACCTTTTACACACTTCAGGTTGATTCTGCCAACCTTTCTGTCTACCCGCTTTGCCTGTCACTTTGTTTTCTGTGCCTTTTCCCCAACAATCATTTATTCAGACCTGGCTGTGTGCCAGGCACTAACTATGCTAAGTGCTGGGGTTTCATGGATGAACAGAGCAGAGAAATGTACTGTGAGCTGGAGTGGAGGCACACATGTACATAAAGAACTGATTAGGGACTAACTCTGCCTGGAGAGGTCAGGGTAGACGTTATGAGAGAGGTGGTGGTGTTTGAGCTGAATATTGAAGGCGAACAGGAGTTTACAATCAGACATGATGGTTTTGATGGTGGGGTATGATGGGGAGGAGGGAGGACATTTCTTGGGAGAAAAAATACTGGGTGCAATGGTTAGAATAACAAAGGGCTTAGTGATGTTTGGATCTTATCAGAACTTCATTCTGCTGACCTTGATTTCCTCTAAACTCACATGGTATTTAGTCTGTATTTTTCGCTTGGCAACCACTACTTTCTGAATTAAAATAGTACTTATTTATAGCTATGTTATTAGCATCTTACTTTGCAGTTAGCTCCTCAAGGGCGGAATTAATAGATCCATTGTGACCCATGTGGCATATGCCTTACCTGTAAAAGGTGCTCGAGAAACACTTGAGAGGCAGTGAATGCGTGGGAGGACCTGTGAGCATCCCCAGTTCTTCACAGTACTTTTGACTTCAGAGTATTGTTGTGTTCAATGAAAGAAACCAGTCATAAAGGTCCATATATTGTATGATCCTATTTTTGTGAAATATCCAGTATAAGCAAACCGTTAGAGCAGAAAGCAGATTAGTGGTTGCCTAGGGCTGGAGGTGGTGGGAGTGTGGGTGGCAAGGACAGGGAGTGACTGCTGATGTACAATCCTGTACATGTCCTAAAACCATTGAACCATACACTAGACAGATGAATTTCATGAATTTCATGGCATATGTATTTTATCTCAGTAAAGGTGTTAAAATACTTTTGAAATCTTGTCAGATTTTTAAAAACTTATCTTCAAATGCATGCTGTTTTTTTTCTTTTCTTTCTATTTCCATAATATACACTTAGGGCTTTGCATTATCTGTTTCTCCTGCTGCTTTAACATTTGAGCTTGGGGCTCAGTAGGAGGTAGGTGAAGGAGAGCTTTGTGTCTTCAGTGCCCCTTAGAGATGCAGGGACGTGTGGAAGGGAACCTCTGATGAGCTTTTGTGGAGCGATCTCAGTCTGTCAAGGGAGCTATGTGCTCAGTTACGCATTTTAGTATCAGTAGAGTGGCCCTGTTGGATATATGGGAAAAATATATTTTTATTTTTAAAGTGTTTGAAGAAGTTGTCTTTAGGGGAGTAATGCTTTGCTTTGTCTTAATGAAGAGAAATAATAGCAATTGCAGAAATAGAAGAATGGTGGGTGCTATTTTTCTGTCATCCTCAGAATAAGAGAGGCTAGTTTGTTTTTTTGCCTGTTGATCTTTTATTCCTCATTTAACAGTTCTTTATTTTTTATATTTTTAAAGGTTTATTAATTAAAATTTTAAAAAAATTTATTTTTATTATTGAAAGTATTACAGATGTTCTCCATCCCCCATTGGTTTCCTCCCCCAACCCTGCTTGTCCTCCCGCCACCCTTGCCCCAGGCTACCACACAATTGTCTGTGTCCATAGGTTATACATATATGCATATAAGTTCTTTGATTAATCTGTTCTCCCCCAATACCCTTACCTTTGAGATTTGTCAATCTGTTCCATGCTTTCATGTCTCTGAGTCTATTTTATTTGACTGTATTTTGTCCAGGTACTTTATTTTTAAAGTGTATTTTGTATGAAAACTTTTTTTGAAGTCATATATATTAATATAACCTGCACCCTTAGATAACATTTTTAATGTGGTTTTCCCTTTTCTTGCACGTGTAGAACTAGTAGTTTCTGTGTTGACCTAACAGCAGGGAGTGCCTATTTTGGTGTGCTCATTTGTGCAAAATTTAGCCCTTTTGAAAAATGAATAAAGATCATAGCTAAAAGTATTCATCATGCAGTGTATCCACAAGACATCTTGAATGAAATCATCATTAAAGAACTTAAGTAAAACAGTTATTTCCTGATACTATATCACCAAATGTACTCCTCATTTAGGGCATTATTATGTACGCACTAGTATTTTCTCTTTTTCATGTGATTGCCAACTATCTTAAAAAATGGGATGCTTCAGACTAATGTTTTGGGGAGGCTAATAGGATCTACTTGACCCTGATTTAACTTCAATAGTGACAGTGGGTTGTTCTTCCTCATGGAGCTGATTGTTATTAGGGTTTCTTCAGAGACTAGTATGGCAAAAGCATTGCATTTGATTTATCTTCACTTATCCAGCATCCGCCAGGTTTGGATCAGTAGGTCTTTCCCAGTATGAATGTGAGGACTTACTAGACCAGAGAGAGCCAGAGGCCTCAGGGTTTGGTGGGAGAGTTGCCCATTTGTTCAAATAAGCCCCTCGACTCTCCTATGCATGACCCAGATTATTTTCTTTAGGTTCCACATATGACTGAGGTCATGTGACATTTGTTTTTCTCTGACTGGCTTATTTCGCTTAGCATAATACTCTCCAGGTCCCCCAAAATTGGACTGTTGATTGGAAATGAGAAGATCTGACTTCTTAAGTAACAAGCCATTTTGCCTCGGATAAGTCTCTTTTTTCCTCTGGGCCTTAGTGTTCTTATCTGTCAATTGGTGCAATGGCCTCTTATCTCTAAGATTCTTAGATAGATTGTGAGGTTTTTTTAAGAGAAGAACCATTTTCGTTCACTTTTTCATTCAATACCTACTTGGGCAAAATATTTTTTTAACTAATGAGTTTGTAGCTGAGTCTGTTTATCACTGGAGCCATAGTTATATCATTATAGGTAATTATAAAATAATTTTGAATATTTATAAATGGAAATTGTCTTGTGAAGTTTGTGCCCAAGCAGCCTGATAAGTGTCTTTATCTAAAAACTAGAGGCCCAGTGCATGAAATTTGTGCATGTGGGTGTGTGTCCCTCAGCTCAGCCTGTACTCTCCCCAATCTGGGACCCCTTGAGGGGTGTCTGACTGCCTGTTTAGGCCTGATCCCTCCCTTCTCCGAACTGTCCTCCCTTGCAGGCCTGGTCCCCCCCAACTTCTCTCCTCTGCAGGCCATCTTGTGGTGGCCATCTTGTGTGTTGGAGTGATGGTCAATTTGCATATTACTCTTATTAGATAGGATTCATTCATATATATACATGTATGTGTGTGTAAGCATGCCTAGATCTAATGTATACAATTATGCATGCCTAGATCTAACGTATACAATTTTATGTATACATGTATGTGTGTGTATGCATGCCTAGATCTAATGTACAATATATAATCAAGGTGCAAGAATATACTTTTTTTTTTTTTTTTTTTTTTTTTTTTTTTTTTTACGATCTCTTGCTTTAAAATAACTTACTTATGTTTCATTACTTGGATATGATGCTCAGAATAATTGGCCAACAGCAACAAAAATTTTGTTGGCAGCTTCTAGGTTAAAAAAAAAAAAACACTCTAGAGAATTAGGGAAAAATAGTAATTAACAGGGTACTGTCAAGGTTGGTAGGTCTAAATTTAACATAGCAGCTGTGTTTTGGTTTGTGGTGGGGGTGTGTGTGTCATGCTATCTCCCCCTGTGGTTTGCCTGCCTTGTTATGAGCCAGGAGCAAGTTATTGTGGAAACAGAGATAGTGCCTTCTACATGCAGCCACTAGAAGTGGCTGCTTGCATGTGACAGTGCCCTGCTGGCCGGCAAGACCCTATCAGTGTCTGAAGAAGTTTAAAGCTGAAAGCTGGCAGTGGAGTATGTTAGGCTTTCCGTGTGGCTGTGGTCTGTGGTGAAAGAATTCTAAGTAAATACCTTCTCCTCTGTGTTGGAAACACTGGGTTTCATTGAATCTTAAGATGCCATTAAGTATAGATACACCATTGTTTTATGCTCCACTAAGAAATGACCTTGACAATTAAGATCTGATAAAATGCTCTTACCTATTAGAATTTTTTTTTATATTTAGTGGAAGAGCATAGATTAAAAAAAGGAAAATTGAAGTGAAATGAATTGGTTATGATATTCTTGAAACATATTCACATTCAGAGTCCCAGTCTCTTGAATCACTTTCTGACTCGGAGTTGTCCATGTCAGCGTATTTCCACACACCCTCACCCTCTGCACCGTTGGGAGTGCGGGTGATGCAGCCGTTCCTCACAGTGCTTCACTCTTGATTGGAGTTTTCTTTCAAGCTGCTGACACTCATTCGGCATGTTTCCATGTGATTGCTGTCCTGATCTTCTGTAGACAATGTCATGAGGTGTGTTATGATGGCCATGTAGCCCATAGCAACAGTAACATGCCATCATCTCAGAGCTGTTTCAATGTGGATAAATTTGTCTTAGAGTCAATGGAATATGGCAGCTGTGGAAGGAACATGGACCAAACAGTCCCTGTCCAGAGGTTATTATTAGTGGAAGTGTGGAATATGGGGTGTTTTTCTTTCTTGTAAATGGTTAGCACCATGGTGACGGGTATTGTTTCACATTCAGATACTTATTCTCTAATCATTTTTTAAAAATATATTTTTATTGATTTTTTATAGAGAGGAAAGGAGAGAGAGAGCTAGAAACGTCGATGAGAGAGGAACATCAATCAGCTGCCTCTTGCATACCCCCTACCGGGGATGTGCCTGCAACCAAGGTACATGCCCTTAACCGGAATCGAACCAGGGACTTTTCAGGCCGCAGACCGATGTTCCACCACTGAGCCAAACCGATTTCGGCTATTCTCTGATCGTTTTAATGTACAAATAGAGGCCCAGTGCATGAAATTCGTGCACTGGGGTGGGAGTGGGGTGTGTGTCCCTCAGCCTGCACTTTCTCCAATCTGGAATATTCCTCTCACAATCCAGGACTGCTGCCTCCCAACTGCTTGCTTGCCTGCTTTCCTGATTGCCCCTAACTGCTTCTGCCTGCCAGCCTGATCAACCCATAACCATTCCCTTGCCAGCCTGATTAATGTCTAACTGCTCCCCTGCCGGCCCGATTGCCCTAACTGTCCTTCCCTGCTGGCCTGGTCACCCCTAACTGCCCTCCTCTGCTAGCACGGTCACTCCTAATTGCTCTCCCCTACAGGGCCTGGTCCCCCCTAACTGCCCTCCCTTGCAGGCCTGGTTCTTCCCAACTGCCCTCCCTTGCAGGCCTCTCCCCCCCAACTGCCTTTTCCTGCTGGCCTGATCACCCACAACTCTCCTTCCCTGCTGGCCATCTTTTGGTGGCCATCTTGTGTCCACGTGGGGGTGGTCATCTTGTGTGTTGCATATTACCTCTTTATTATATAGGATTGATAAATTTTTGTTAATCCTCACCTGAAGATATTTTTTTCATTGAGAGTGGAAGGGGTGCAGGAGTTGGGGGTCAGGAGGGGTGGGGGGGGGGGGAAGAGAGAGAGAGAGAGAGAGAGAGAGAGAGAGAGAGAGAGAGAGAGAGAGAGAGAGAGAGAGAAACATTGTTGTGAGAGAGACACATCGATTTATTGCGTCCTGTTTGTGCCTGGACTCGAGCCAGGATCAACCCAAGTACATGCTCTTAGTCCTGGAATCATACCCGAGTCCCTTTGGCCTGCTGGCTGACTTTATAACCACTGAGCAAACTGGCCAGGGCAGTGATCACTTTTTCATCAGCACTTACCACACACAGTTTTGCAGTGATTGTAGTGTTTTACGTTGTTCTCAGTGTTAGATTAAAATTGCTGCTGCTTTGTGGTCATTTAAAGCAATGTGTACATATTATTTTCCCAGCCCAATGTCAGAATGTTGGCAGATACACACTGCTTTCTTTTTCCCCCTTGAATTTATCCTCATACCTCATGGCTGCAGTTTCCATAATTGTCTCACTGCTTCTGTTTGTGTGAGTATCTCTTGCTGGATCCAAAACCAAACTACTGTGCTTGACTTTTTGGATTGTCTGTCTCTCTCCTCTCTTCCGTTTAACCTCTCATCTCTTGAGAATGAAAGATTTCCTTTTGCCTCGATTGGTTGAGATATTTTTTAATAATTTTGCCAATTCATTTATTATTTTAAATTCAGATATCACAAATTAGATTTTTTTCTGCCTCTGATTACGACCCATAATTGTAAATTACTTGTGTGTCTTAGATTCTAGTCAGTTTTATGCCTCCCTGTTCCCAGAAGCATAAAAAGTTATATTTGGGTTTGGTATTTCCTTCAGTAAAAAGTGTTAGGCTTCTGTGTTTCAGCTCCTTTGGGCAGCTGTTTTAAGGAGGGCGACTAACTGTCTGGAGGGGTCAGTTCTCTATCAGTGGTGACTGGATGCAGGGTGCACATGGGACCTGAAATAGAATGCTAGATGGCAGAGACAAGGTGGGCTCTCCTGCGCATGTGTAGCCCTGGGAGGTTTGTTTCATTGCTTTTTACCTGGTAGGTATGAGCCTCTTCATCAGTTGTCAGACTTGACAGTTTAAGTGAATCGTAATTGCTTTTGTCCTTGCCTAAAGTCTAATTCTACTAGTGCTTTTGTTTGTTACATAGGAGGTAACCACTCAACAACACCGTATTTTCTCCCTTAGGTGAGGAATGACAGGTCCATGGACTCTTCACTCTAAGGCCCCTCTGTCTTCTCAGCTGTAGCAGGGATACTGAGTAGCTTGGGTGGTATTGACAGGAGAAGCTTTGGGTGGGGGGACAAGCCCCCTTGGTATGTATACCACCTAACAGGGCAGCTGGCAGTGCCCTAGTACCAAGAAGTATGTGGCTTCCTGGGCCAGAGCAATAGAACTTGAGAGGCACTGTGACACCGCCCTCTTCCCCTCTCTTCCCTCCCAGGAGGAGGCTTGGAGAACTGGAGTTGGTTCCCTCTTTCAGCTTCCATGATTTCTCTCGGGAGTCAGCCTTACAGATACATCTCCTGCATCTACTTCTGCTGTATGCATTCTCTCCCTCTACTCTGCCCCACCTCTCATTTGTTATTTTTTCTAATCATTACCAACACTAACTTTTTTGTACCTCATGTAAATAGTTAGCAAAAGCTTTTGGCCTGACTTTATCTAACAAGCTTTTGCTTACAGTGGGGCTGGAGAATGCTGTTAACTCTGATTATTGGAAGACAAATCATTTTAAATTTGGCTTGCAAGTCGGAGAGTACATTTCTCCTTAGTATACAAAGACGTTTTCGGTGTAACTATCCCCCTACCTCCATTAACTTTTATTTTGCTGCCTCCCCATTAGGAGACTTCTGAAGCCTAAAACATAAGAATTCATCCAATTACAGGGAAAGGTTGAAAGAATCCATGTCTGCTTTGGTGGGTATTTTGTGCCATTTTACAGCAGTATTTCCTGACTGGGGACTTGAATGACAGTGTTCTGGAGAGCACATTGCCGTTAAACACTGCCGTTAAAAGCGCTAATGGAGGGTATTTATTTTAGGTTCTATTAACAAATCAACCAGTAAAACAGTTATTTAATTATTTTCTGCGTGTGTAATGAGTTTTGTGATTGTTAGTGGAGATTAGGCAAATGGGCTCCAGTCCCTCAATTGCTCCAGCACAACACCGTTGGTTCATGGCCCACTCCTTCCTGCCATGGTGAGTAGACATTTGTGTACGTTAGTGCTTTTATTCACAGTCATGTAGGGTTTAATTGGTGCCCACAATGGATTATTGATTAAAGTCTGTGAACATATGAGACACTGATGATGGAAAGCAGGTTAATGAACATCGTAAAATGGTAATTGTTCTGAAAATTGGCTTTTGGATGCTCTTCACTAGATTAGTAAGCTGTATTCATTTGATAAAATTTCTCACATAGCACATTGAGATGTGTCTAATATTTTAATTCTTAATGTTGAAAAGAGAAAGATATGATGATTATTATGTTTAGTTTTGCTTTTAATTGATTAGGGGGAAAACTATTTTTTCCCAAATGTATTTGGATTCAAGAAATCTTCTTATCTTGTCATTTAGAAATAAAACACAAAAGGTCTAAGATTAAACCACTTAACTTACTTAACTGTAAAATGTGAAAATTCTGAACATTAGGTCCTGATTGTTTTTATTTATTTTTGATTGTTTATTTAAAAATATTTATCTCCAAATGAAATATATATATTGATTTCAGACAGGAAAGGAGGAGAGAGGGATAGAAACATCAATGATGGAAAGAATATTGATTGGCTGCCTCCTGCATGTCCCGTCCTGGGGATCAAGCCCGAAACCTAGGGCACGTAACTGTGACCTCCTGGTTCTTAGGTCAATAACGCTCAATGATTGAGCAACACTGGCCAGCTGTAATGCTATTTTTAAAAATGTTTTTGCATAATTAAAGACAAGAACAAGTTAGATTTTTTTTAATATAATGTAAATGCTATAAAAAGTTATACTCTACCTTATCATGATTATAATATTATCAAGTGTCTTAAAATTACTTTATTATATAACATACAAATTACAGATTCTTTAAGAACTTATGAAGGGGTTTCTTAAGATTGTATTAATGTGAGAGGATTTGTGCTTCTAAAAGCACTGGGAAACACAGCCGTCTAATGGGATGTGCAGCAGGGAGCCGAGCTCTGGGGAGGGAAATGAGCATCTTCCCAGTTTTTGCAACAGGGAGTCATGATACAGAAACATACTCACTGGCACAGCCCGGAGCCAGCTTCGAATGGCTTCAGCTGTACATTGGCCCTGCCTGGTTGCTTATGGTATCGCAGAGTTGATTAAATGATGAATAATACCTAACAGGGATGCCAACTTTTTTCTGGGTAAGGATGGTTTTAGTAAAAGAGGTTGCCATGGTTGTCTGGAGGTATCAAGACCCTCTCCGAGGGTCTGTCCCGCCTGGCAAGTCAGTTGAAAGCAACAGTAATTGTGGATACTCAAAGGGAAACCTAAGATACCGTAGTTTGAGAGAATCTTAGGGAAAAGCAGAAATATTACGACGGTGTAAGAGAAGCCTTTTTAAGATTATAAAAATGAACAAGTATTGTTCATTAAAAAAAAATAGATGTGTTTCAGCTAAGCCTGTTATTCTATGAATATCTTTAAGTGGATTATAGTTCTCCATTTATATCTTTTATAGAGTTGGACATGCTATTTTGAAGTAATAGGGCCCCTGGATATAATTTGCATTTCATAAGAATGCAGCAAATCTGTTACTGTATGTTTAAAATAATTATTTTCTTATAATATTTTAACAGTAATGCTAAAAGCATCACTAGCAGCTCTAATGTATTAATATTCTTCCAACTTATGCACAGGCAGACCATTTTTTTGACTTAAACTAATGTTTATTTTTTTAGCTGATCATTAAAGTCCTCTTAGGGACTGTTAGTATATCAGAGGGAGTCTTGAAATAGTGCATTTGTTTGTCTTGGGCCTTAGGATTCTTGAAATGTTTCTAACAACAGAACTGAGTGGACATGGGGTCCCTACCTGGAACACCAGGATAGGGTGATTGCATTTGATTTTTGTGCTTATGGTAGAGATAGGGTGAATGAACTTGTAACTTAATCCTTTTATTTCAAATACTGCTGAGTAAGTTTGCAATGAAAGGAAATCTGTTAAAAAAAAAGAAAAAAAAGAGGATGGGAAGATTTAGGAGGATTTGTGTAGTCCCCTACTGTTATGTAGAATGCTGCAGAAGAGTGAAGGAAAAAATTAAATGCTTTAACTAGTTAGGTTCTCAACAAACTTTGGGATAACAAACATTTTCTCAGGTTTAGCCTGCCAGAAAAGTGGTGGAAAGTTAGGGAATTATTACTCAGTAGGTAGCATGGTTATGCTGGACTTATTTTAAATAGGAAGTAGATAGTAGGGTGAAGCCTTAAAGAATTGCCTGGGTTAAAAATAAAAAATAATTAGCCGAGACCGGTTTGGCTCAATGGATAGAGCGTTGGCTTGGGGATTGAAGGGTCACAGGTTCGATTCCGGTCAAGGGCCTGTACCTTGGTTGCGGGCATATCCCCAGTAGGGGGTGTGCAAGAGGCAGCTGATCGATGACTCTCTCTCATCAATGCTTCTAACTCTCTATCTCCCTTCCTCTCTGTACAAAATCAATAAAATATATTAAAAAAAATAAAAAATAATTGTCCTGGTAGAAAAATGTGATTTAGTCATATTGATGAGTTCTTTATAAATTGCTTGGTTATTTGAATTTGTGAATGGCTTTTATAGGATTTTGAGTAAAGTGGGTTTATGTAAGGTAAAATGTAATACAGTGAGGTATTTGTTATATGTCAGAAAGTGACATAATCTCACAATTTTGTTCATAGTTACTTTTATCATACCCATAAGGAAACTGAGTCACTGGGAAGGAAGATAATGACCACATATTCATATGTAACCTATAGCAGAGCAGGGTTTTAGATCTGGAAACTGATTCTAGAGCTGACATTGTTAGCTGCTCTGCTGTGATGTCATAGGTATGGAATCAGGATTTCAGAATTATGTTAACTGAAAGAAACATTGGAGCTGTTCTCATTTATGCCTCTCATTTTAGAAACAGTGAAACCGAGGCTCTTCTAAAGAGATTGAATAATTTGTTTAAATGGGTTACTTACCCTGTTTGGACAAAACACTTAGATGATTTTTCTCTTTCTTGTTATTAAGCATACTCTGCATGGGGAGACTTTCCCTATGGCAAGAATGGGCTTTTGCCCTCAAGTCTCTTCCAATTCTTTCAAGTATACTCAACATAGCTGCTTTTCTATTGTAGTTTCTTCTTCAGGGTGAGACTGTCTCTGATTCTTCTGTGTCTGAGAAATTTTAGATTAAACTTTGTATTTTTGCCATGTCTGATCATGATATGTGGGATAGGAGATAGGTTTTACTGTCTAATGGAGACTCTAAGGAACACTGGTTTAAAAAGGTAGAGTTATTTTTCACTCATATAACATTTTAGATAATTTGATGATTCCTTAGTACTGGGACCCAGCTCCTTCTGCCTTATTGCTCTGCATTTCTAAGTGTTTCCCTTACCCATCTGGTCTCAAGTGGCTCCCAGCTGTCCTCCAGGCTGTGTCATAAGGAATGACTTAGAAGTTGTAACATCGTGTCCACTCACTTATTATCAGGCAGAATATAGTCATGAGACCGCACAAGTGCAGGTGAGGCTAGAAAGGTTCCAGGTAGTTTCCAGGTAAGAATCTTTGCCACAGCATATTTGCCACTTCACTAATATGCCGTAAGACATTTTCTCTGATAAAAGAATAAAAAATAAAAAGGGACATTATAAAGGATATAATGAAACATGAAAAAATTAATAGCAAAATTAACATTTTTTTATTAATTTCTTTATTGATTAAGGTATCAAATACTTGTCCTCAACCCCCCATTCCAATCCCCTACCCCTCCCCACTCATGCTCCCACCCCGCTATTGTCCTTGACCACTGGTTAGGCTCATATGTGTGCACAGAAGTCCTTCGGTTAAATTAACACTTTGAAAAATGAAAATATATTGTCTTTGAAGTCGTTCATTCATAGATTATACTTTTTTTGTTTGTCGATTCATTCAGCATTGCATTTTTTTCTTTTACACTAAATGTTTTTTCTTCATTTAGAGCAGGGATGGGGAATGTTTGGCCTGTGGACCATATAAGGCATTCAAAATCATTTGGTCTGGCCCTGCAAGGCATTAGGGATGAGTTAATTAAATGTTTGACCAAAGGTAGCAGCTAGTTATGAAGTTGATAATTTTGCATGGCCCAAGAAACATAATTATCCAAATAGCCCTTCATAGAAGGGTTCCCCACTCCTGATTTAGAGAGAGAGCAGTTTTCAACTAAAAAAACTGATAATTATTGATATTGAGACTGAGTGAATGAGTAGCCACCTCTTTTATATTTGCCATAGCTTGGTAAACTTTTGGTTTTGACTGATGGGAAGGATGACTGTGCTCACTGAAGGATTTGCAAACACTGCTCATGTTATTTTCTAGTTTAGTATGCAATCTAGCTAAAATTTATATAATATAAAAATAGAAATACTGTGAGAACTTTGTCAATGGAGAAACAAAATCAAATGGACAACTAGCTCATTAGGTTGGCAGAAGGTGGTTGATTTTGCAATGGAGAAGTAAAACCAAGCTGTCAGCCAGTTATTTTATCTTTTACAGTGAAATTGCCTTATGACCCATCTAGTTGTGTGGCAAAAACGCTTGTGGCATAGATGTTTACAACACAACTAATGGACACGGGAGGGAAATTATAGTCTGTATTCTGATCAGCCATGTGCTCAACCAAAAATTGCCCTGTGTGGCAGTCTGTGCTGTGTTTTTAGATTTTGGATTCTCAGATGAGAATGGAAAAGGCTAGATAACCAAAACTGTAAATACTGAAAATGTTGGCAATCCTGAGACATAAGTTCTTTTTGAAACGAAGCTAAGTTGGGATATTTTGGTTACAAAGATTTTACTTTTGGATGTCAGCAGCATGGTAATGTGAGGACCTCCAGATCTCTCCTCTTGAAGTTACAATGGGTTGGAGTTATAATTTGACAAAGGATTCCCTGCACAGCACGCAAGACAAATCTGCATACTGAGAGATCTGAAGGTGGATATACCTGAGTGAAGAGTGGAGATGGGAAGGTGAGGTTCATTACAGGGATGCAAGGATGGCTCAACTACACAAGTTGATCAATGTGATGCACCACATTGACAAAATAACAGATAAAAATCATTATCCTATCAATAGATGCAGAAAATGCACTTGACAACATGCAACACTCATTTATGATTAAAATCCTCATAAAATGAGTATAGAAAAAAAGTACCTCAACATGATTAAGGCTATATATGACACATCCTCGGCTATTGTACTCAATGATAAAAAACTGAAAGCTTTTCCTCTAAGATCAGGACTAAGACAAGAATACCCTTTCTCATCACTGTTAGTCAACAGAGTACAGGAAGTCCTAGCCAGAGCAATCAGGCAAAAGAAATAAAAGACATCCAAATTGCTGCCAGCCTCCATGGGCCCTGATGAGAGAGAGCCAGATTGGATTGTGCAGGTGAGTGGGCAGTGCCAGGCCAAGGTAGGTGCAAGTAGGGGCCCCTCAGTGACCAGCAGCGGGTGCGGGGGTCAGCCAGGCTATGATGGGGTGTCATGTGGGTTTGTGGGGCTGTGAGGCTAGGGGCGTGAGCTGGGGCCCTATCCCCACAGGCCACCCCAAGGGACCCCACCTGTGCACGACTTCTAGTCTAATTATAAGACTCAAAACAATAAAATACATAGAAGAAAACATAGGTTTTAAACTTAAGGACTTTGGTCTCAGAGAGGATTTGATATGAATTTGACCTCAAAGGCAGGAAGTGAAAGAAAAAATAAATGAACATGACTATATCAAACTAGGAACTTTCTGCACAACAAAAGGAAGTTATCAACAAGACTAAAAGGCAACCAGCTGGATGGGAGAAAATATTTACAAACAATACCTCCAGTAAAGGCCCAATATGCAAAATGTGTAAATAACTCATACAACTCAACAAAAATGCAATCAATCTTATTAAAAATGGACAGATGTTCTGAACAGACACTTTTTCCAAGAAGACATATACAAATGGCCAGCAGATATATGAAAAGATGGTCAACTTTACCAGCCATAAGGGAAATGGAAATAAAAACCACAATGAGATGCAACCTCAGACCTCTTAGAATGGCTATTATCAATAACACATGCAAAAAAGTGTTGGAGAGGATGTGGAGTAAAAAGAATCCTCATACAATTCTGGTACATCCCTATGGGAAACAATATGGAGGTGCCTCAGAAAATTAAGAATAGAGCTACCATATGAGCCAGCAATCCCTCTTCTAGGTATCCACCTGAAAATTTTAAAACACTTATTTGTATAGATACATCTAACCGTATTTCATTGCAGAATTATTCATGGAAACTACCTGTGTCCTTTGATGGATGATCAGATAAAAAAGATGATATCTATCTATGCAATAGAATACTACTCAGCCATAAGAAAAGATGAAACATTGCCATTTGAGACAATATGGATGGATCTTGAGACTATGCTAAGTGAAATAAGATGGAAAAGGACAAGAACCATATGATTTCACTTACATGTGGGATATAAATCAGAAAGCAACAAATGAACGAACAAAAAACCCCCCCAAACTTATAGATACAGACACCAGTTAGATGGTAACCAGAGGGGAAGAAAAGGGAGTGAAGGGAGGATAAGAGAGGGTAAGAGGTGTCAAATATTATACTCTAAGATAGTGGTCAGCAAACTCATTAGTCAAGAGAGCCAAATATCAACAGTGAAACTTCTTTTGAGAACCAAATTTTTTAAACTTAAACTTCTAACACAGCTTCTTCAAAATAGACTCGCCCAGGCCGTGGTATTTTGTGGAAGAGCCACACTCAAGGTGCCAAAGAGCCACATGTGGCTCGTGAGCTGCAGTTTGCTGACCACGGCTCTAACGTGACAGAAAGAGACTATACACACCATGCAGTATAATGATGATATAGTATAGAACTGTACACTTGAAACTTATATAATGTCATGAACCAATGTTACCCCAATACATTGAATTAAAAAATACTTCACTTTCATATGAGTGGCTTTTTGTTTGGATTTTGGTTACTCCTGATTTATCAGCATGGATGAAAAATTGTAGTTGATATTTTCAGTTTATATCCACACTTTACAAACAGTATCTGAGGATTTCTCTGCTATTGTAAGGAATGAATAATTTAGTTTGAGTTTTTCTTGAACTCAAATAAATAAGATGAAAATGAAACTCAAGATAAAGCTATAGTGTCCTGCCATTTGTCATCGCCACTCTGTCTCGGAAGCTTTGTGAAAGTGATGGTTTTGATGTTTGTTATGATATACAATTTCCACAAATAGGTGTTTAAAGCTTTTTCATTTTAGCCAGAGATTGCAGTGTGTGCATGTACTAAGCAACTTAAAAAACAAAACAAAGCAAATTTGGTATGCTGAATAATAGCTTTCACAAGAAAAGCTTCTGGCAATGAAACCCTAGTGAGAAGTTGTCAGATACCATTTTAAGGAAGCAAGGCTAAATTTTGATGTGTATTTCTAAGTATAAATCTAATCAGCAAGCAAAGAACATTAAATGTTTACTTTGCTAGTGGCAGCAATGAATGTAATGACAGATACAGTTTAAATTTATTATTGAAGTTATATTTTCTTTTAGGTTGCTCCTGTGTGGAATATAATACACAGGTCTCTATGTCTATTTCAAAGCCAAAATTGACAATTTATAGAGCGATTTTCTAGAATTTCAAAATGTAGTGACTGTGTAGCAATGACTTCTACACACAACGAAATGTTTTTCCATGGACCTTTACTATCATTGTGCCATGGGATATTTGTTGCATGATGTAGAAAATTCCATCAGTGGTTATATTTCATTCTTTTTATTGGACTTAGCTTAACTTCAGCTCATTGCTTCAGTCAGTGACTAAGAATTTTTTATCAGCTGTCCTTGCTGACATACAGTATATCATTCATCATACTAGGAACATTGGGGTTATCAGTTGAAAGACCTAAATGGCAGACAAAAATTAAATGCTATTTGAAAAACTGAAGTGAGAAGAGACTGTTTTGGCTCTCTAAAATTCCCTCTATTTTCTTTTTCTTATCCTCACCTGAGGATATGTTTAGAGAGAGGGGGTATGGGTGGGGGGGAGGAGAAGAGAAAGAACACAAAAAACAATAAAAATCGATCGGTTGTCTCCCATATGTGCCTTGTCCAGGAATTGAACCCACAACCTTTTGGTGCCTGGGACAATGTTCCAACAAACTGTGCCACCCGGCCAGGGCTCCCTCTCTTTTCTGCCTATTTAATATGGATGGCTATGAAATATTCTTTTTCTGGCAGTTTGAATCTCATGCTTTTCAATGCAGCAAATAGTTCTTGTCGCATGGGATTCTTCTAGACAGCATAAGAAGAAGCTATGCTGTAAATTCTGCTCCCCAGACATTATTATAATAGTGGTGTGCGATTGTACTTTCTTGAGTAACTTGCCTTTAAGAATACATAGTCTGTTATAATGGAGTGAAGGCAGGATGGGTAAAAGGAAACAACAAAAACCCATCTTGTTTCCTTGAATCTTGAGGTGCTCACTTTTAGACACTTTCATCCTAACCAACTCTTTTTTGGTATAAGTGTGGTTTGAACTTCTGTCAGCTAACCTGTTATAATTTGTACATTTGGTGTTCATGATTAAATTGATAATGGTATTTTTTTTTAAAAACTGGAACTTATTGCCCAGTTATTCATACATTGTTTAAAAACCACTTAAAATGATTATGAAAGTAAAAATGTGTTTTTTGGTAAAATATTCAATTAACTATAAAGAGAGAGGAAAAATGATTCATTTCCCACAAATTCAAAGGTAATCATTTGTCATTTTGTATGTATTATTCCAAGTCATATATGTGTATGTATGTTTTTGTGATGGTTTCTTTATGTTTTTTAAAGTACTAGATGTATAGCCTGGCGAGTGTTGCATCGACCATGCACCAAGAGGTCATGGTTTGATTCTGGTCAGAGCAATATCTGGGTTGCGAACTTGATCCCCTGTAGGGGCTGTGCAGGAGGCAGCTGATCAATGATGTTTCTGTCTCATCAATGGGTTTCTATCTTTCCTTCCCCCTTCCTCTATCTCTAAAAATCAATAAAAATATTTTTAAAAAGTACTAGATGTAAACTTACAAAGCAAAATGAATTTTTATTCTTGAAAGCATGCTTTTTAATATTAATATAGTATTTCATAATATGGTTATATTATATTACTATTAGATCACCTCCCTGTTTTTGGATATTGAGTTTGCTTATGATTTTTCTATATTAAATGTCTGTTGTTCTATCTCTCTGTCTCAATCTTTCTCTTTGCCACCAGCCTTCATGTTTCTAGGAGGAAGATTAAACAGTCATTTAAACTGGTCATGAAAATGAATTTTTAGGCAATGCTTGATCAACATCAATTTTACTTTAGCCTGTAGTCTCCTCATCATTCATCACAATCTGTGACTTTAGCAGATTTCAAAGACAATGAAAGAGATACAGATTAATTCTTGTTACTGTCAGATCAAATTCATTCACAATACTAAATATGTGAACCTTGGAGATCAGAAGTTAAAATACTTATGGAACTGGGACCTCAGTATAGGCCAGATCCTGTATCCTCATAAAAGATCCAGCACAAATTCTTTTTGTTACCTGTTATTTTCTGTAGGTTAAAACAATAGTAGATCCTAGCATGTTGACATGCTGAAGAATATATTTTCTAAAATAAAATATATTATTTGGTTCAATGAGATGTTGTACTGTATGAGTCAGTATTTAAAAATAAAATGCTGGCAGTTCTTCAATTGAATAGAGCTTCATTTTGTTTTTGTAATGATGTTCATTTTGTCCTTAAAATGTTCACTTCATCTCATCTTTAAGAGAAAGCTCGGTAACTTGTAGATAAGCAATTAAGTCACAGAGGGTAGTGTCAGGAAAGGAACACTAGTCTCTTTCAACCTGATTCTGTAATTAAAATTCTTTAGCCATGCTTCTTATGAGCTCTGTTTATCTGTCCTTTTAAGAGAAATCAAACGTGATGTGCTTCTGTATTTCACAGTTCTGTGGTGAACAAACACGCACGCGCACTCTGGATGTGACTGTGAAGTGCAGGTCATGGGCGGCACGTTGTCCCATTCTCTTTATTTCATAGCCATGTTTCAGATGCTCATCGATTTAAATCTGAATCTTTTAAAATGTTTTATTTTATAAAAGTATAGTGTCTTGTTAGATTAACTTCTTAACTGTTAAAGTCTATAAATTATATAATTGAGGTAAAATATGAAAAATATGTTAAAAATATGTTTCAAGCATATGCAGTGAAGTCTTATAATTTGGGTTTATTCAATCTTCAAATTGTCATGGAACTAGAGAAGATTTATGTTTATTTAAACTAATATCATTGGAGATGGATGAGGTTGGGTTTGGTAAGAAAATTTTCTGAGAGGAAATCTCAGGTAAATTAGTAACTTATTTTATAATGGCCATGTATGTTAGAAGTTACTTGCTACAGAGAATAACTTGATATTATAATTATTAGTTTCATTAAAAACAGTTCCTAGGAACCTTTATCTAATAACACTTTTAGAAGATTGGATCCAATTGCTGAAGGAACTTGAAAATGACATAAAAGCATTAATTTTAAAGTATCACGTGGACTTAGATTTTACTCATTCTTGCTGTGTTCCTACCATTTATTCTAGGTAGTTTCATATTTTATGCTGTAGTGAAAGCTAATTTATTTTTGGTGTTTATAGAGAAATTATTCCTTACTAAACTCTTCATTCCTTAATTTCAAAATGGAATCTCTGTGAATTATTATACGTTAATTTAGACTGAGGAACTTTAATTCCTTTTCTCATTTTTCTTAAATATAAAAATGATAGGGCCTTATTGAACTGTTTGCTCACTGTTAATTCTAATATTGTCACCTACAAAACATACAGTTTTAATTGGCCAAAGGCTATTTGATGTAGATAAGTTCTGATGGGAAGTGTGTCAGCTTGAGATAAATCTGTTTGGAAAATTGTTCTCTTAAAGCCATTAACTTGAAAATGTCTGTGAATGTTTAAAAATGAAAAAGTTGTTAATAGTTTGTAGGTAAAGGGGTGTCACTCTGTATCTGTGTGCATTTCTGTGACATCTTATCAGAGAGCTGGGGTCTTGAAGCTGCAATTTGTACACACCTTTCTCGTTTTCATTGGATTCCTAA